AACATTGAACCAACTTGGCTATATGATCTGGTTGAATTAATTCTGTGCCTTGAGATGACATGTTGGGAATAATAAACAGTTTTAACAGTGCAGTTTTCCCTAAATAAAACTCCTTAAACTAATTCCTGGATTTTGGCTTTGGACTGCCAGAGGCTCCGAGCTGGCAACCCCTTAGAAAAACTTTCTGGAAGCGCCCCTGGAACAGGAAAAAAAAAAAAAGCGCAGAAAACACCTACTATCCATTAGTATGTCCTCCACCCATTTAATACAGAATGCAACATGTTGTGACCTAACTGCAGAACCAATAACGCACCATAAAAATGGGGAGACATGTTTTTAATAGAAAACATTTAGTATAGCGCTCGCGGAGATCCAGGTGTGTGCAATTTTTCGATCATTTACAAACTCCGGGTGTCGATATCGATAGCCATTTAGGAAGTCATACCTGCTGTTTTTATTTTTTTCGCAGGTTAGAACTTGTGCGCAAACTTGTACTGTGACAGAATGCTGCGGTAAGAAAATAAAAACAACTGCTGGCGCAACAAAAGCACGCTCAGAGCGATCGCTTCCAGCTTGAGCTCACCTCACAAAAAGTCTCCAACACCACTTAAATTGAATGAGATCACACATCTCTGTATACTCTACCTTTACTGTTCCTGCCTCCTGTTGGCGCACAAAAAAATATATATTTTCAAAAAGTTCCTTCTTAGTTTAATCCTTGTCGATCTTCATGTGCAGAAAACCATACTCCCTCAAAACCATCTTAAAGTCCATGGATCCCGTTCAGGCAGAGCTCTCACACGGAGCCAGCTCTCCTCTGCAAGCACCTACAAGTAAACTGAGTCCTCCAGCTGTGACATCACCAGTCCCCATGGCAACCCTGACTCCACCCCGGTCCTGAGCTGATCCTACCTGTCTGACTACCTCTAACTCACTGCCTTCTACTCCCTTTAGCTCTTAATTTGTTCAAAACCACCTGATTTGTATATTTATCAGTATTTGGATCCCAGAGGAAAACTATGAATAGAATCCGACACATGTAAACAAAAAGGGTTTATGATGTCCTATCATCCTTGCTGGCTGCATATTTGCATATCCAGAGTTTGCAATCAGTACATGAGGAGGTTTCACTTTGCAGGTAGAAAGTCTGAATGTCAATAACAAAACCGCACAATGCTTTGCAACTTTGCCTGGAGCTCCCCCCCTGGCTCTAGTCCAGTCTTACTATTACCATTTGTTTTGGCTACAAACTCTCTGTTTGTTCATCCCTTTTGTCTCCCCTGACCCAGAGCGAGCCAATGACCAGGTGAATTGAAATGTCCAACTTAGACAAGCTTCAGATAGCTTAAGTGTACAGCAAGACCTTATAACCTCTAAAAGCTCAAGCAATTGTGTTATACACAGTGTTTCGCTTACATTATAGTAGAGCAAGTGAGCCCGAAGCTACAAGCAAGTCAAATAAGGTGATTAAAGCAGCAGCATAATGCCTTTTTGAACTGTTGTGGTTTCCACATTTTTTGCTCTACTTCATGATTCACTCTTTCACCACAGATGTGGGAGGGAACCATGACAGGCAGATTTATTGGATACACCACAAATGCTATCCGCAGCGAATAGGAAGCAGGAAGGGGTGTCACGGTAGACTACATAGAAAATAATTGGTGTAATTTCAAATCTAAACAAAATCCCTTTAGATAGCTGCAAAAAAAAAAAAAAAACTGTAGACACAGACACATTTCTAAGCAGTCAAAACCTTTAAGACAAATGTGACATATGGCAACAGCATTATAACAATACATTAATAAAGTTTATAATAATAATAAAATAAATTTTAGCACATTTATTGAGCAGCGGGAAAAAAACAAGTAAATTAGAATTAGAAATATTTGTTTGGAGAAAATCACTAGAGGCAGTATGATCAGCATCCTCAACAAACCCTTAAAATCTTAGTGGGAATTTAGCATTTTTTTAACAGTTAAGCAAAGATTCATACAACCTTATTTTTTTTTATTTAGCTGCTTTGCCTTTAAAGGAACCATCTCCTGTTTCCTTGGTGTATAAATATGGCGTGGCAAAGAGGTACATTTCTGGGAAGTTCATGTCTCCACCTCACAGAGTGAACAGACTGACTATTATGGGGAAAAAAACTCCAAACCCCAGTGTTGGAAAATTAAGATCTCAATACAGACCACCAAATGGTGCCAACATGCCAGCACACAATTAAGGAGGCATTTTAAATAGGGCATTTTGTGTTGTACCATCACAAACATAACTATAAAATCTACTAAAACCGCAGCACCATTGGTGGACAAAGTATTCAACAGTAGTACTTTAGTAAAAGTACTTATACCCATAGTCATATCTTACTAAACTACAAGTAAAAGTTACTTGGTCAAACATCTACATAAGATGAGGTATTGAAGTACTCACTTTTGAAAATACTTAAGTATTCAAAAGTATTCAACCACCTGATACAGATTCTAGACCCCCTGGAAAGAACTTCAGCTTAAAAAGACCACAAAAAGGAAAGCTATTTTTTATTTCTTAAAAACAGACCACCAAAAAAAATAGGAGTGACTTAATTCTCCTCACACTTTCATTATGGAATAGAGGTTTCAGGTTGAATTTATTACCAAAAAGAAGCCATAACTCTGATTTGAAAACTCCTACTGGAAAACGTGGCCACATGTCAACAACCAACACCTTAATAAAATGTAAATAATATTTGCCCTGAGTTTCTCACATTTCTGGAATGTCATTAAATCTCTAAAACAGTGGTGTTCAAACTTTGTCCTAAGGGATGCTATCTTACATGATGAAATTGCATTTCTAGAAAGGAAAACAGCAACACTGGATTACATCAGCTTCCTCGAAATGTAGTTGAGTAAAAAATACAATACTTTAATTTGAAATGTAGTGGAGGGAAAGTTAGAAGTACCCCCTCGAGTTCCTTTAAATCAAGACTAAAAACACATTTGTTTACGATTGCCTTCAACTGTTCTAGTTAAACAGTTCAACTGAAACATCATTAGTTAAAAAATTTTATTTTCTTTAGTCCAACTGTTTTTAATTTTTTTTTTTGTTTCCGCATTTTTTTATTTTATATTATTCCTACATGCTTTGATTCTGTTTTATTTTCCTATATTTTAATAATGTAAAGCACTTTGCATTGTCTTTGTACTGAATTGTGCTATACAAATAAATTTGCCTTCCCTTGCCAAAAAAAATATTCAAGTAAAGTAAAGATACTCAAAAAGTACTTAAGTACAGTAATCAAGTAAATGTTGCAATGTGTGCAACACACTATCGTAGATAGGGTGGGTGTGAAAAACAGGAGGAATATATGTGGGAAAAACATTCCAGTGGCTGTTGTGAAGTTGGATAATAGGAGCCCTTTTCTTCCAACCTAGAAATCTTCTAAAGCAGAATTTATTTTTTTAAATAGAACGGTATTTAACACATGAAAAATGGTAGAATATGCTCATTGTTTGTTTGAAAAGTAAGAAACAAAATCTGTCATCTTTTATGGTCAATCAACTGCCAATCTAATTTTTAATATTTTGATAATCTGGTGCACATATATTGCATCTCTGTGGCTATTAAGATATTTTTCCAACTAACATCAACAGTTTTAAGTAGTATTTTCAGGTTTTTGCATGTTTGCTTTTCATCATGTCAACACAGTATTTTGTACGGATGAAGTGATCAGGTAATACATTATCACTGAAATCAATGCAAAACCTTTAGAATAAAAATGTAATTAAATAAGATCAAATGGTAACCAAACAGCAGGGAAAAAATCTCTCTTAGCTCCAGTAGGTTCTTTTTATAGTGCTTCCGTTTTACTATAGAGGGGAAGGAAGAAAACTGTCAGGTGGGATTTTCTTGAGCTTAAGTCACATCAGCTATTATGTCTAATGTCTGGTTTCACTGCAGCTGTTCCTGATCTATTTGTCAACAAAGCACTGAGCTAAACTTATCCACAGCTATGGCACAAAACTTGCGTGAGACTCTAAAAGGCACCGAATCTCAGAGTTTTAAGGCATCCTTGGTACCTTAGGATCATTTTAACCTAATGTGTACTGATTCATTTCAGCAGAAATTAGTTAAGGAACAATTATGCTCCACAATATTTATATTTATACGTTAGTAGATGTCCCATAGTTAAATCCTACTTAGTTTAGCAAAATAAGTACAGTATACCAGCTTTAATGTTTCCAAATGCTATATTTTCTTAAACTCCAAACTTTAATCATTTTTTTTAGTGAATTAATGTAAAAGACCAACAAACAACAGTGAATATAGGTAAGCTGGAAGGAAAAGGGTCGACTGTTTTAAACATTAATCATAATCTAATTCAAAAGCCGTGATGAGAACATTTAGTAACACTTTAAACCAACTATATCCCACTTGATGGTGACAGCATCATGCTTAGGGTATTACTTACAGCAATGTTGGAGAAGCTGGGCGGATTTGAAGGAAAGAATGATGGGGGTAAATGCAACATTTCTCGACCGGAAAACCAGTAAAGAGCTTCAGAAATGCTGATAGTCTACAAACATACAGTATAACCACATCTACAATGCAAGGTTTTCATCCAGATTTGGTAAAAAGTCCAAACCTAAGTCCACCTAAGAATTTACTTCAACTTAGGTTGACTTGAGCAGGTTCAAATTTTTGCACAGACGAATGGGGAAAAAAAGTCTATTGTTAAGATGTGAGAAGGCTGGTTTAACATTTTCTTTCCATTTGACTGTCAGGCATGATTTTCTGTTGGTCTATTTCATAAAAAACACAAAAGAACACCTAAAAATATTTTTGACATTTGAAAAAATGTAAATGTTAGTACTTTTTCCAAGCACTATAATCCCTATTTTTGTCTTCTTGAACAAATCTACAAACAATCTTTAACCTAAAAGGAAGCTGTTTACATTACATAGAATAACTCTAGTTTCCTAAATGCAACAAATGATGTTAGTGGCCTTCCTGAACTCACTGACCTGCTCTCTGAGCCTCTCCTGGTGGCCCATGATGGCTGAGGCATGATGAGGGTATTTCTGCTTCAGGTGCTCCAGGAAGGCCTCCCTCTTCTTATCCATATCTGATGGTTGCATGGCGAGGATCTCTCTGGAGCCGCGGGCCCCTCCTAATGTATGCCTTCGAGGGACGGTGCGATTACCTTTGGCATCCCCTCTTGTAGAAGTCGACCCATTTGGAGACACTTGCCTGCGGTTTACATGTTCAGTGTCCTCTAGAGAGGTCACTTTCAGGTTGCCTTTGGTTTGTTCTGAAAAAGCAGAGAAAAGGTTGAAAATTGATACATTTTAATAAAAGTCACAACAACATATTTACACCATAAGAAAACACAGTTTTTAGAGGATTGTTCTCATATTTAAGATATTTAAAGAGATAAAATAAATATGTAGCAAAAATTACATTTTAAAAACTATTAAAAATAAGACCACATATTAGCTCACCAAGAAAGAAGTTCCTGTCAAGTAGCCTGATTTTTCTAAGTGATTGATCTAGCTTGAATGCTAATTGGTAGCAGTAGATAAAACACAATAGATCTCAGTTTTTTTTATCTATTTGGGGAATTGGATTGGGGATGCAACAGAAGAGAACATCAGAAGAGTGAGGTGCGACACAAAAAGAAGACACCGGGCGAGTTGAAGAACTTAGAGGAATTGGAAGGTGATTGTGAGGTTGGTGACATGTCTGAATGCCAGACAACAAATAGTCCACTTAGCTGCTCCGTGTGAAAACCTTACGATTTTAAGTGTAAATAAACATTGAATCTAGTGACAGCTGATTTCATACTCCACTGATTTCATACTCTGCGATATATTCAAAACAGATAAAGGGGGTCCCAATCTGATATTAAAATCAGAATCGTTCAGATATCAGCCAAAAAACTAATATTGACCAGCATCCAAAATCAGCAATATAACCAGGCTGATAGCATTATTTAGTCTGAGTCAGCATAGTGCTTCTATCCCTCACACAAAGCCTATGTAATGACAATAACAGGAGCTGAGTGAAAAACTTTTAATGCACAAGTTTCTTCTAATTTAGATTCATGTTATTTCAGATTCAATTCTTATATTTATACTTAAAAGTTTACATAACCCATGGGTTTATAATAAATGAGTCAGTTGTTTTCATACCTAGTTGTTGACTCTAGTTCAGTGTTTAAGTATTATTACTTGATAAAACCTTTTCTAACATTCCACATTAACAGGAGTAATAAAAGTATTTATGATTGGTGCTGATATCATATCAGATTAAAATCGCTATCAGCCAACACTAAAAGCTGCAAAAGCTGTATTGTGTTGGAAATGAAAAAGCTGTATTAGGAAACACTTAATAAAAATATCCTGAATCTGGAATGGCCTAAAAATCTCAGTGTGAAAATAAATATTTTGAAAAAATGTTCAGCTCAGGTAAGAATGTCAATCAGTCAGTATGATGCAACCCAGAGACAAAAACATTTACCAAGATATTGATCAAAAACACATGATGTCCAAGACTTGTGACATGGTGGTGTCTGCATCATTTAGAGACACAACTAATCTGTGGAACAACCTGGAGTCTAAACAACCACTATACTATTAGCTGCTAATATTTAAACCCACTGGAATAAAAACCAGTAGTAAAATATTATTTGGCAGCTCACAGCATTGAACTATGAGAAATATGTTTTGGTTGAAATACATTTCTATAAATGTTTTATGTAAGACTATTATACATTAATATAAGTTATCTCTTATTTATAATCATTTCTTTTTGTAATCTAACTTATTTCCAGTTTATATAATAATTTTTTTAGAAATTGAAGAACAGCATATTGCTTATTTGAGTTTTTTTATATGTATAAATAACAGCCCCTGTTTGAATACAGACTTTAATTTGGCGGGCAGTAAAATTTATTTATAATAAAATGTATAAATGTATAAATAAATGTAGTTTTAATACTGAACTTAATAATTTTCATAGCATATAAAGTGGTTTCTTAAATTAATGAAACCTGCTTTGAAGTAATGGTATCACTGATTAAAACATCTTCTACAGTATTTACGCTAACCTTACATAGCCTGACATGAGTCAACACCTTAATGTATTGTAATTAAATATATTTTATCCCATTTAAAGTTTAGTTTTCTTCTCTCTTGTTAGACTATAGAAAGCAGAAACAACTGATCTTTTATCTTTAAATCGGGTTTTAATTTGATCAAATATTTTAATTCACTTAGTGAAACCTTTGGCGGTTCTTATCTTCAAAATGTCCTATGTAAGTTAAATGTTCTTACTATAGAAGACGTTTCTGAATAATGAAATTCTGAGACAGTTGGACAGATGCTTCTGCAAGAGACTAATGCAAGCACCTTCATATCATTATAGCCAAAGGAACATTTCCTTGACTCTGCTTTTGGTTGAAATTGACTGCTTTGGTTAATGGACTGCTTTTATGTAGCACTTTTCAATAGCCTTTACACTAAAAGCCATATTAACGCACTCAGACACACATTCACACACTTATTTGCAGATCGGGCCTTCGATGTCTTGCCCGAGGATACCTTGACAAGTGCTGTGGGGGAAAATGGAATTTTAAACAAATACAATACGGTGAAATCATCTGCTTTCTTGTTTTGTATACAGGTACAACCTGTACCTTTTAGAGGGTAGAATAAAGGAACTCTTGCAGAGTTCAGTCCATCCACAGCAGAATGAAGAACTTCCAGCAAGTTTCCGCATTTTTTTCTGTCTGAGAAAGTTTTAAAGCACACAGTGTACTACAAATGTAGGAAAGACTTTAATTTTCAAGTCTTACCCTTTGAGACTCTTTGGTGCTGAGAATGAGGTAATCTTGCTGTAGGTTTAGCAGCTGCAATAACTAGACACCTCGTAATAACTGGAGTCTGTCAGAAATGCAGAAGCCTTTCATATCAGATATAAAATATCCTTAAGAAACAAGAACAAAGTCCAGCTGGCTTTTATTGAAGCATTTACGATTGTGATACCCATGGAGCCCGAGAGTTTTAGATATAATTTTAGATATAATTTTTTTTTTGTTTATTGCAAAAGCAGGTATGTATATAAAAAAAGAGCAAAGAGTTGTTACATCATTGACCCAAACCCCCTTCTCATGTCACAGCATGGCTCAGGTACTCCAATACTATTTTTAACTCCCAAAACACTTTCCCCACTGCTTACAAAATTACTCACAGCAGAAAGAAAACACTCAAACACTCTAAGGGATGTGAATCCATTTGTGGGAGGCATATCAGAAAGTTCATTACCTTCCCTAAGTGAGCAATCTTTGGCTTCATCAGTAATTTCTTCCATTCTCTATGAAATCAACCTCTTAGAAAAGTCCAAGCCGGGAGGATCGACACGCTGCTTGATAGAGATTCCAAATGTAGCTCACATGGAAAAGAAGAGAGCCTGAGATAGGCCCTGCCCCTCTGCCCCAGGATAGACTAGTGGGGATTTAGAAAGTCAACTGCATTCCTGAACTCATGAGCGACCAGAACCCATGCCCCTCAGGCTAAAGGTTCTGCTCCTGTTTCAGAGTGATCACAGACTGAATGCAAAGTGGAAAAAAATGGAGATATAGAGGAAAAAATACTATCGTCTCCATAAACCCAAAGCCTAACAGGTGTCAGACCGTCTGACACACATAAACCCGCTCACATTTAGTCGCAGTCTGTTCTTTATCAGGGTTCTGTCTGCAGGCTGTCTCTCATTAAGTTTTCTGTCTATACTGAGGGGGCCCACCAGATGCTAGAACGCATCCAAATGTGTCACAACCTACTTCTGAAACACATTGCAGACTACTCTGCATATGCGGTGCTAGTATTCAATCAGGACCTAAAAAGACATGCTTCACTCCTGCAGGCAAAGTTGTTTACCAATCAGTTTACACTGTTACCTACAGTTTGTTCGACTTAATAGGGAGGGTCTGCATCTGTGGGTGAGTCAGTTTCTTTGCAGCTGCTGATGTAAAGTGACCCAGTCTGAATGTACCAGAATAATGAACTAAGTAACGTGATTTTACCATGAAAACGTGAGAGGATCAATGAGACAGTTAGTGGTCCGTGTAATCGAAACTGCTTGGGTGAATGGATGAAGAAAAAAACACAATGCAGCAGCTGACCTGTAATGTCTAACACATGGAGACAAACTTTCCTCTTTTATCCACCCACATGCTCAGGGGACTTACTCATAAACTGCAAAAAATTAGCAGGCCACAGGGGATTGTGTCATTTGGTTAAACTGTGAAGCTGATGCAATGCTGATAACATTGATTGTAAATTAAAAATTTCTACCTTTATAAGTCCTGAGCCTAGACAGAATAGCTGATCAACAGATGCTGGTTAATGAAGCCAGACAAATTTCAGCATGACTGGTCCTGGCTGGACTAAAATGAAACATCTGATATTTGTCTAATCAGTGAATGCACTTATGCTCTCCCAGTATAAGCTGTCAATGCTTCTACAGATTTAAGAGGAACCAAAGCGAGCGATTTTCAGTGTCAGCAAGGTTTTTAGAAAGAAGACAAATAATGTAGAAGCTATCTGAAGAGAAAGCATATTTCAAATGACTTGTCTTTGTGCTTCCAGTGGGCTGCAAGAGAGTAAGAAAAAGCAAGACTTCAAGTTTTAAATGTGAACTTTGTAAAGCTTGTATTTTCATTTTAATCTGGGATAGGTTTCCAGAGTTCCTGCTCTCTAACACACAGTTTGCTTTTGCCTCCAATATAAATAAATAAATAATTAAACATGACTGACGACAGGAAGCTGCAATATATATTTTTGTATTTTAAAAATTTACAGTATCACTAATGTATTATGACATATTGTATTACTTCATCATTAAAATCCTCCCTCACCTCAGGACTTTTATGCCTTTCTCAATTTCTAGCCCACTGTAGCCCAATAAGATAGCAGTTAGCTAAAATTGAGTGAAAACTTTTCCAGTTAAAGACTTTGTTAACACTCTTAAAGTAAAATAAAAAACTTATGATCATGATCACTTAAGAGATTAAATGATTCCCCATCCCTTAAAAGAAAAATAATGGGTGTTGTTGTTGTATTCTTTTACAAATTGCTTATATTCCATAAATGCAGCTCTTAGTGATCTTTTATTTTGTTAAAAAAATCATATTACTGTAAATAGGCCAACTCCAACTAAAGGTTTTGTCTGAAAAGCAATAGCTGCCTTTAACATCCAATTAGCCAGCATGTGTAAAGATTTGTCATGCCTTCTTTGCTCACAGGCCTACAA